GAGAGAGAGAGAGAGAGAGAGAGAGAGAGAGAGAGAGAGAGAGAGAGACAGACAGAGAGACACAGAGACAGAGAGACACAGAGACAGAGAGAGAGACAGAGAGAGACAGACACAGAGACATAAAGAGACAATGGGGTCAAGTCAAGAGGGGGAAATAGAAAGAGGAAAAAAGGACAAGAAGTTAAAGTGACGGGAAGATCAACAGATAGGTAGAGAAACATGGAGAGAAACACTTATAGAAGAGAAAAAAAGAGAAGTTACAGAACCAAGAGTCATGGAAATAAAAGTATGATGTGCACACAATTTAGTAATATGTGCTTTCCATTTAATTTTATATACATTTTGACTCTTTCACTCTTTTAGAGGGCGGCATACACCTTTAGCATGTCGCATGTTGTTAATGAACATCCTCAGTCTCAAAGTTTTTAGGGAGAAACAGCCCTTTATTATGTAAAAAAGGTTTAACAGGACGTTGTTCGTAACATCCCATATTAAATCCATTAAAGTGATCTAGGGTGAGTGTGAAGGGGACATGTAGGACAAGACTGATGGCATTAAGGCGATAAGTTAACTGTATGCTAAATTGAGCACATATTAATTTATGCACACAGATGAGGTTTTTTTCCTTCCCAAGACACCTCCCCAGGCTCCGTAAGGAAAAAAGGTGAAAAAATGATCACAAGTAGAGAAAAAGTAGAAATACACAAGAAAAGACCGGCAGGGAGAAAGAGAGCTACACGGGCTGAAAAAAAAAAGTGTTTTAAGATAATCGTAATACTAAATTGTGGTATTTTGTATTTGAATTATCCAGTATAAGCTATTAGTATGTGCTATATGTAATACTACTTAATGACTGGGACTGAATTTTTGCTGTTTTAGGGAGATTGAGTCGACTCTAAACTATCAACTATTTAGACTAAAGTTGTTCACAGTTGCACTGAAGTCCTGGGCTGGTTGAGGTAGAAAATGAAACAAGTTGTTAATCAAGGATGAAAAATGCAGATCTGAAATTAAAGCAGCGTGATGAGAAAAAGAATAAAAAAAGCTGACTAGCAGAACAAGCAGACAAGCAGAGAAATAAGCAGCTCAGCCTGTTACTTCAGCACACGACAACAATATCCCTTTCAACAAGACGTTTGGTCGAGTATTTAAGTTTGATATCTTGTTTTCAAAAACAAGTGAAAATACCTGTCAGTGCATATTCTTTGAAGGCAGTGTCACCCAATTTGATTTTTATAAACAAGATTTAAACATTCAATACTAGACATGTCGGCTTGTCGGGGATATTTCGGCACTCTAGAAACATAACTGCAGTGTTATGTGTCGCACGTCGTTGCTGCCCTTTCCAGAAAAATACATGAAAGAGGATGAATACAGAACAAAATCAGAAAAAAAAACTAAAAGCTGCGAGGAAAAGGATCAACACCTGTGCAAGCAAGCGCTGTCAGAAAGCAGGACAGACTTACTCGGAAGCTGTGGTTGTGGCTGAGACAGTTGGGAGGGGGATTGTCCAAACACAAATGGGCTGTGGACAAGGGAGGAGGAGGAAGAGGAGGGAGGTTGGGCGGCTTGCTCAAATACGGAGGAGGAGGGAGCTGCTGAGAGGAAGGGCCCAGACTGAACGGAATTCAGTATGGCACTCAACCGGTCACCTGCAAACATGGAGACAGAGGATGGGGAAAAACTACAGCTTATACTATGGCTTGAGGTTTCCAAAAGGGGGGGTGAGGATCAGTCAGAGTTTATCAGTCATTCAGTCATCTCCGACGCCGCCGCGCATGTGTGAAATGGGAGGAGTCGCCAGGGTCCCGGAAGAAAAAATCCTATTGATTTTCTGTTCAGACAATGCAAGTGGGTTGGCGGGAGCACTTCCAAGGCCTGAATGGGCGTCCAAAAGGTGAGCAAAAAGTGGAAAGGTACAAGGCCCGGGTGGATAAAACATAAGGAGAGAGGTGAACTACGACTCCCAAGAAACATTGGCAAATGGCATTTGCAGCCGAGTTCAAATGCTGTTTAATGTGCAGCAGCTGAGCAGCTCCTTTGCTATGTAGCCTGAGTGGTGGACTTTCATACCGTGAATGTTTGTTTGGTGGATCGCTCGACAAGCTAAGGAGCGGGAAATGGCACGTATTCCTGTCTGTGATTTAGAAAAGAACGAGACTTTAGCAACTTTAGACGGCCAGACTAACGTTGCTGCTTCATGCAGGATCTGATTGTCTGTATGTACCATCTGAAATAAGGTCTCCCCCTATATAGACGAATACCTGCAACAGTATTCCGTGCAAGGGTGTATACTGTAGTGGACATATGCAATGTAATTTCAAATGGACTTTGTTATGAACGTACACTATCGTTAAACTATCCAGGAAACTCTTGTGTTTCTATGTTGTGGAGCATTGATGACATCATCACCAGAAAACTTTCAAACAGGGTTGTACAGTGTTAAAAAAAAAGTACTTCGAGCACCAGCGGCTCCTCCCATTTCACAACTGTCTTTGGGGAAAGGATATGTTGAGGAAGGGGGCAGTGAGGGGGGGGGGGGGTCTCTTCTCATGTATTCATTTCAGGAGTCATTCTTCCGAGAAAAACATGTGCATCCTCATCAGAAGTTCCAAAAAACGTGCTGGCAGAAAATAGATCCTTCTCCATATACCGTATATATTGAGCTAACACTGCATCAGTAATAATTCAAAGACTCTTGTTGAACGTGCAACAGAAGTCTCTCACTCTCTTGACACAACTGAGTAGTTGTGAACCAGGTACAAAACCCAGTCACTGTGTTGTTTTCAAACATGGATTTAAAAAGTTTAAATCCGTTCCCTTTTCATCAATTGTTGGAGCCAGAATTGTGAGGCTGCCTGGCTGAAGGCCAGATGGGGGAACTCAACCAGCACGGCTGAATATTGAAGTCTGAGAGCATCTGTCAAAGAGGTTGCTCTCCAACTTGCTCAAAGAGCTTTGCCAAGGACTGGTCCATCAAGCTGACCAATCTGAGGGCGATCCACATGCCTCACAGCATGATGGGTCCATCGCACAGGTGGCGAGTGATTCAAACCCTCTGTCAGATGGTTCAGCAGTTGCCGTCACCTTGACCTAGAGTTGCAGAGGCCTTCGGCTTCCTAACGGCTTGAGCAAACATTCAGCGTGCTAGTGGTAGCTCGCTGTCCAGGGGTGTTCTTATTCAGGATACATGTGCTGCTCACAACAAACATTTTGTGAGGTTTCAACATTAAATGTCACAGCACTATTTTTCCCTTTTTGTGTATTGAGTGCGGGGGGCGGGTTCAAATGACTTCTCTGAAATGAAACAGAGACGAGACTGAACCATTTCCCCCGTTTACACTTTGCCAATTTCTGCATTCTTGGGCAGATCGGTCATCTGGCTTCGAAAAAAGCCAAGGGTGAATGTGACCAAGATGCATATAAACAGATTGCCATATCAAAACCACCTCGGAAAAGGTGATGTTGACAAAGGTATAAATGCATCCATCTCTCCACGCAGCCACATGAAGTTGCCACATAGCCACAGTGACACTGAAATGAGTCATCCTTCTACTTGTCACATTAAAGCAACAGAAACAGTGGCAGTCACACAGAAGGCTTAATAGCATGTTAGTGTTTAGGAGCCTTTCCATCCCCCTCTGGACAGGAGTAAGGCCGACACAGCTTTGCATTGAGCACAGTGAAAGAAAATTAGTGGCAACCAGACTTGCGATCAGCCTAACAGACACATATGTGGTCAAGTGTGAATGGAGCCTTTATTCTACAGTAATGGTGCAATAACTTAGTATTATTTGAATAACCATGGTTCTCTGATTAGCATGGCTAAACAGGTCAGCCTCCTTTTTTTCAAGCAGTGAGGAAGAGTTAAGGCGTTTGAAAGACAATTGACACAGCGTCAGCGAGATATTCAGGCAGAAAGATACACAGACATATTTGGGGCAAGCTGCTCTTTGACGGTGCAGCAGAATAGATGTGTTCATCGACGGGATATTTTCAGTATTCCACCATTATATTTAAGAAAACATGGATTATGTAAATGATCAAATGTTTTCAAAGAGACTGAATTGAGGCGACAAAGGGTAATCTCTGTTGGGCTAAAGCACCGCGCCCAACGAAACAGAGCCCAGAGCGTTCGGAAATGAACAGAAGCACACTGACTGGCCCATGCACACAGACATCGCAGAGATGTTGGGCATGAAATCGCAACAGTAGACACGATAAAAAGCATGCACAAAGAAAGAGAGATGATAGATCGGTGACAGATCGCACCTGTGATTTTAAAGAGATTAACTGAGCCATAGAAATAGAATGAGAGTAGAAGGGACATTCCTGTGCAATATAACATAGCAAGATGGTCAGGCGGCGGCCATTTTTATGTGTACCGTTTCCATTGCAAGGAACTGTTAGCGGTGAGCGCTATTGTGTTTTGAACTAGTCAAATAACTACGGCATATAGTTCTACTCTCATTCTTTTTTGATGGACTGACCCATACTGGATCTCATACACGTCGTGGAGGTGCTGTAAATTGTGGAGGTCGTATTTTAAACAAAAGAGGAAGTTGTACTCTCATTGCGATAAAGATGGTGAAAATGTCTGCATTTCTACAACTAAAATGAAGTAATGTATAAAAAAAAAAGTCTCAATCCAAAGCATAGAGGGGAAGTCAGATAGAGAAAATAAAGCGGGGAACAATAAAGACGAGGGGTGCAGAGTGAAGTCAGAGGTGAGGTGTACATCAGTAATGACAGAACACAGAAAAACATCAACTACTGCCCGATGACTCATAAAAGAACAGCATAAAGCAAAGTGGATGTTGAAAGCAAAGTGATATGCAGATTGAGGATATGTGATAGAAAGTTTTTCTGTAAAAAAAACCCAACAACAACCAAAAAAAAACAACTTTACGCCACGTCGAGCTGACCTTTGTTGTTGGAGATGCCGTAGTCAAAGCCCTGCGCTCCGTTTGAGGCTGCGGCTCTGTTGAAGGCCTGCACAGAGAAAGGGCTGGGCGGAGGGGTCTGGGCCACGTGCTCAAGCAGTGCTTGTTCTGTGAGAGCAGATCAAATTACGTCATCAAACAATTTATAGTAATTATAATAATATTTATTTGTACAGAACATACAAAATGGCTCACCGTCATCGTGGCGAAGGTACTGATTTCCACCGCGGTCTCTGGCCAATGACCAGGCCTCTCCTTCATCGCTCTCACAGAACTCCACTACACTGTTCTTATCCAGCTGAACCCAGTTCCCCTCTGAGTTGACCACCTGATACACAAACAACACTCTTTATCCACACTCACACACACTGAACACTTTGTCTCACACACACAGCACTGTCGCAGAAGATCATTAACATGCAATCATTGGATTCATCTGATTGGCACTGACAAAATCCACAGCAGTAGATCACATGAATTAGATTTTGTGCATCAGCAGACACTGCGGGACAAAACTGATGTAGCTAAACAAAAACAATAACTTACTCTAAGAAAGGGGTAGCTTATTGAAAGGTAAATGCATGAGGTTGTTTTTTCTCAATTTCCTGAAATATTATCATTTTGGAAGAAAAAAAAGACAGACGGAAGTATTAGTATGTGCAGGGTGCACTTCTCAGATCTCAGACAGGGCATTCCAAGTGCAGAGGAAACTATTGAACAGCATGACACACCACAGCAGCCAATGACGGGTCATATCTAAAAGAGGCGGGGCTCCGCTCATCACCGCACCAAAGACAATTTAGAAAAGTACCGGAGTTATTGACAAGATGGTTAAAAGTGCAAGAAAGAGACATTCAAGGCACAGACAGGCTCCAGCATTTCATGATCACACTTCCACTGAAAAGTCTGCAAGGCGGCCGAATATGACACGCTGAAACTGCAATAGATTCGTAGACAAACTGAAATTAGTGAATCAGGAAGCACGCGGAAAGTGTCGTAGCCGCAGGGAGTTGATCCTCAAGTGGGAAAAGATACACAACACACACCCGCACCCAGAAGCGCCTGATGCATTCCCCTCAGACAGCCAGATTACATTCTTTACATTCAAAATCAGTTTAGGAAAATAGAGGGAACCGCTAATCTCTGAGAATTAAGGCCAAAATCTACTAACATTGGCTACATTACAATATTTCAACTAAAGCCACAAAAAATAACAAAAGAAAACACATTGCATCATTTGGGGTGAGTGCGTACCTCGCCTATGGCCTTGACCTTGTTGCCAAGAACTAACATTCCAATGGGGATACCCCTAAGGTTTGGGCAGCTTCTGATGTTGTGACCAGAGGGGCCGGTCTTCACTACCTTATAAAGCCCCGGGCCGCCGCCCTGCCCTGCCCTGCTTTGCGCCCGAATGGGGGCCTCGTGGGAAGGGCAGCTGCTCACCTCCTTTACGCTCTCCTCCGATTGGCCCCTGACCTCCTGCAAGAGGTGAGAGCAATGGATTAGAGGCAACGTACAGTAGCACAACAACAGGCTGCAAAAATGTTTCACTCCAGGACAAGGTTCAGATTGCTAGGTCCAGAAATGTTACCGCGAAGAGCCACTGTTAGCAGGGTAACGGGCAAAAGAGCATGTACGCTCCAGAGCAACCTGCCTGGAAAAAAACTTTTTGAACATTAGGTCATTTCTCATATCGAGCAGTTATAAATCAAGTCTGTCACATGTGCTGTGTGATCTTCAACAGCTTTAAGCAATAGACATTTGGGGAATCCTTTTCTCGGCTAGAAACAGCCAACTGTTATATCTTGATTATTCGATCCGTAACCTCAGTGTAAAAACGATACGTTGCAGTTTCCCATGGGGGTCATGAGTGGGACTGTTTTAGTGGCCGGGTGTTTCCTGGAATCTTCTCGATACTGTTCCAGGCAAATAAAAAGTCCAGAACATAAGCCTAATAAAACCACAACCTGCAGTTTTTAAACTTCAGTTGTCGTATAGGTTAAACATGTGATGTATAAAGTTTTAACTAGTGAGCTTTAGGGGTTGCTGGCAAGTGGATTTTGTTACAGGACAGAGTCAGGCTAGCTGTTCTCCCCGTTTCCAGTCTTTATGCTAAGCTAACCTAGCTGCAGCGTTCTATTTACAGTGCCGACATGACAGCGGTCAAACTGTTCATATTGACTCCTTTGAGAGGCTGTGTCATGCTCAGGTGAGATACTCTTGTTCTACAATTACTACATATCACAACATGGATAGCTGGAAACATATTTAGACTTCCATCCTGAACAGCAGTAAGTGATATTCCAAAACTACATTTATTCCACGGGATATTAAAAAAAATGCATGTACTGTACATAACATTGTAAAAGTTTCAATATAATTGAAGATTGAAATACTCGCAGTAGAAACAACATGAGAATTTAACACATCTTGTAGTGATGCTGTTAAATGACCAATAGACAGTAGAACGTATTTTCATACAGGCTAAAGGGAGGCATGCTGTGACGCACAAGGATACAGGATCTCATGCAATAGACTAGACGTTAGTATCTTCAACCCCCATGCAACACACAAGCCTGAACAGTAATTACTTAAAAAAATAAAAAAATAATTGAAATGGGATCGCTGCGCTGAGTCTGTGGGCCAGAAGCCGCTGACGTACTGTTTTGTCACTGAAATGTCAAAATGAAACAAAGCAGACAACCATGCAGCTGTTGTTCGACCTCTTATGTCCGACTGCAACACTGTGGGGAGACTACAAAGTCACAAGGGGTTCAAGTAGAGTGACAGATGATAAAGCTAAGCTAAGGGGCATGTGTCCCTCCTTCATACAACTCACCTGTGGCGGGAATATAGTTAAGGGAGTCCACGACAAAAAGCCAATATCCCTGACTCCTTGGCTAGCGTTAAAGACATTCTGAGCAACAGATCGTGAGACAGTCAACAAAAACAGTAGATGTGAGAGAGAGAGAGAGAGAGAGAGAGAGAGAGAGAGAGAGAGAGAGAGA